AGGATTTACGTGTCAATGTCTGCCTGGATTTAGTGGTCAACGATGTGAAGATCGTAAGAATATCACATCGTCAAGCCATTGCATGTTTTATTGCTTTCTCTATCATTAGGCGATCCTTGTGCTTTACAACCATGCATGAATCAAGGCACTTGCATAAGAGAAAATGGTGGTTTTCGTTGTACATGTCCACCAGGATACTCAGGGAATCTATGTGAGGTACAAGATACATGCCAAAGTAATCCATGCATGAATGGTGGTACATGTCAATCAATAAATGGAAATGGTGGCTATCAATGCTTGTGTCCCAATGGTTTTAGTGGGCCCCGTTGTGAAACAAGTGCGTTTTATTAGTTTAGACAAAAAGATTTTCTTTTTTCGTCAGAATAGATTTGATCAGATAACTTTGTAAGATTGATCATGTTTTTATGCTTTGAATAGAGTGTAGAAGATAATGGATTTTATTTTTTTGAGCTAACTTCTCGTTTCCAAAGACCAATTTATTTACTAGGAGATGCTTGTACTCCGAATCCTTGTTTGAATGGCGCAGCATGCATTCCGAACGACTTTGGAGGATTTAGTTGTCAATGTTTACCTGAATTCACTGGTCAACGATGTGAAGATCGTAAGGATATCATCTAGTTAAGCTATTGCATGTTTCATTACTTTGCTATCATTAGGTAATCCTTGCGCTTCACAACCATGCATGAATCAAGGCACTTGCATGAGAGAAAATGGTGGTTTTCGTTGTGTATGTCCACCAGGATACTCAGGAAGTCGATGTGAAATACAAGACGCATGTCAAAGTAATCCATGCATGAATGGTGGTATATGTCAACCTATGAACGGAAATGGTGGCTTTCAATGTATATGTGCCTCTGGTTTTAGTGGTCTCCAATGTGAAACTAGTACGCTTACTACATGCTTCTATAAATTGAGAAGTTATTTCTTGTTTTGATTTTGTATGATATTCTGTTTTTTATAGGAGATCCATGTGCAACAAATCCTTGTTTAAATGGTGGTCAATGTTTTCCGACTCATAATGGTGGATTTATGTGTCAATGTCCTACTGGATTTAGTGGTCTACGATGTGAAGATCGTAAGGATATCGTCTAGTTAAGCTATTGCATGCTGTAATGTTCCATCATTACTAGGTGATCCTTGTGCTTCTCAGCCATGCATGAATCAAGGCACGTGCATAAGAGAAAATGGTGGTTTTCGTTGTACATGTTCACCAGGATACTCAGGAAATCTATGTGAAATACAAGATGTATGTCAAAGTAATGCATGCATGAATGGGGGTACATGTCAGCCTTTGAATGGCAATAGTGGCTTTCAATGCATATGTCCCTCTGGTTTTAGTGGTCCGCAATGTGAAACTAGTATGCTTACTCAATATTTCTATTCATTTAGAAGTTCATGCATGCAAAGCATATCTACATAAAATTGTTGCTTTGTATAGAAAATCCATGTGCTCAAAACCCTTGTTTGAATGGTGGTCAATGTGTTCCGAATAGTTTCGGAGGTTTTACATGTGCCTGTGTTCCTCCCTATACAGGTCAACGATGTGAAGATTGTGAGTTGAAGTGTATGCTATAAATATCCTAGCTATGTTGTGTGATACTGCATTTGTTCTAGCAAATCCATGTGCAAGTAACCCGTGTGGTAGCAATGGACAATGTCTTCAAAGTAATGGTGGCTTTTATTGTGAATGTAATCTCGGATATTTTGGAAATCAATGCGAGCGTAAGTTATCACTGTACAGTATGTTATATAGCATGTAATATTCAATTTGCATGATGCTAGGCCTTGTTTGCACGCCTAATCCTTGCACGAATGATGGTACATGTGAACCTCGTCCTAATGGTGTCTTTCATTGCAACTGTCCACCTGATTATGAAGGACAACGTTGCGAATTTCGTATGTGTCCTAGAGATGACAAAAATGAACAAAATAAATAAATAACAACCGATCATATTTATTTTTAGGTAAAGTTTGTGAACCCAATCCATGTATCAACGGCGGAACATGCAGTCCATATGGTCTCGATACATATTCTTGCAATTGTCCATTTGGTTATACGGGTAGAAATTGTGAAAATCGTAAGTGACATATAGGGATTATTTTCATCAGATACTAAGTATTTTTCTTCAGGTGATCCATGTATTCCTAATCCCTGCCAAAATAGCGGTCGTTGTCGATCAAATATAGCTGCAGGCACCTATGTATGTGATTGTCCTGCTAATTTTATTGGTCAAAATTGTGAAACAAGTAAGTTATTATTATAAGCATGAAAAATACATCATTTATATATGCATGTACGATGCTTTTTCTTCATAATCATTTGAAACACTAGATGTATATGCTAATAATTCATATGAAAATAATGGAAGATGTCGTATGTTAATTAGCTATGAGTACGAGTATATCTATATATCACACAGAATAAGTACTTTGATTTTTTTCTATTTGGTTTTCTATTGAGAAATAAATGGAAAAGAAAATTCGATTATTGTCGTGTTCAATTAATAAAATGTTATTTTTTTTAGGTGATCCTTGTGCAACAAATCCATGTTTGAATGGTGGTCAATGTGTACCGAATGGTTATGGCGGATTCACATGCAGATGTTCAGACCCTTATACAGGTCAACGTTGTGAAGAGCGTAAGTTCATATAACTACATCGAGTTGTTTTGGTCATGATAATTAGTTTTCAGATATCGATCCATGTATTAGTCAGCCGTGTCGAAATGGAGGTACTTGTCAACCACTCAGCAGTAATTCGTATCAATGTATCTGTCCATCTGGTTACTCAGGCTTTGATTGTTCAATACGTAAGTTGCTCGTGTTTGATAAGAATAAAGATAAAATGAGATGAATAAAATATATAGGTGATCCATGCGCAACAAATCCTTGTTTGAATGGTGGTCAATGTTTTCCGACTAATAATGGTGGATTTATGTGTCAATGTCCTAGTGGATTCAGTGGTCAACGATGTGAAGATCGTAAGAATATCGTCTGGTTAAGCTATTGCATGTTTTATTGCTTTGCTATTGTTAGGTGATCCTTGTGCTTTACAACCATGCATGAATCAAGGCACGTGCATAAGAGAAAATGGTGGTTTTCGTTGTACATGTCCACCAGGATACTCAGGGAATCTATGTGAAATACAAGATGCATGTCAAAGTAATCCATGCATGAATGGTGGTACATGCCAACCTATGAATGGCAATGGTGGTTATCGATGTGTATGTCCCTCTGATTTCACAGGTTCACAATGTGAAACACGTAAGCAAGCTATGTAGTAATGTAAAAGTTTATATTTTATATGCAATAGATTAAAAATTAAAAAATTGATGAGATTATAATTCTTGAAATACAATTAATCGTTTTAGGAGATGCATGTATACCAAATCCTTGTCTAAATAATGGTGCCTGTATACCAAATGGATATGGCGGTTTTACATGTCAATGTCCTGCAGGTTTTTCTGGTCAACGATGTGAAGATCAAGATAGTTGTGCTGCTCAACCATGTCAAAATCGAGGTGTTTGTGTTAGTTCAGAAGATGGTTCATATGTATGTCAATGTCGTACAGGCTTTCAAGGACGACATTGTGAACAAAGTCAGTTGAATTTAATTTTAAAACATGTTTGTTGACTTATTTTTAATTTTAGTTGATATATGTGGAGTGAAAAATCCATGTACTTGTGGTACATGTCAAAATGATCCATCTAATCCACAAGGTTTTATTTGTTTCTGTCCACCTGGTTATTCGGGTAGCCGATGTGAAACAAGTAAGTGTTGAAAATATGAAAAATATTATCGTTTGTAAAACATATATTTTTCTTCTTTTAGTACTCAGCTGTATGGATAGCGGAGAGGAATGTTTGAATGGAGGTCAATGTACGCAACGTCCACTTGGTGATTATGTTTGTTCATGTCCTTATCCTTATTGTGGTCTTCGTTGTCAATCTCAACGACCATACTGTGGTATATAGCTTAAACGAATTGTTCAATATCTTGAACATATAGAATGATATTTTAGGTACGATGAATACGTATCCACCACCTGCAACTACAGGAGGTTCTGTTTCTTCATGTTCTTCAAGCCTATGTAATAATCATGGTATATGTCAAGAAACTGGTCATGAAAGTGGCATTCAATGTTATTGTTCAACAGGCTGGTCAGGTTCACGATGTCAATATAGTAAGTTACAACTTCAATCGATTTCAAATAAAAACAATTATACAGATAAATATGAAATATCTAAATGAAAATTAAATAAATAGGCTTATCATGTAAGGATCAGCAATGTCACAATGGTGGAGTATGTCGTGAGATAGCAGAGAATATCAGTGTATGTCAATGTTTACCACAGTTTTGGGGAGAACGATGCGAGTAAGCTAATAATAGCATGGTTTTTCATTCACCCAGTTTTCTTTGATGTGATTTTTGATTGTCAAATTAGTTATAAAAGTTGATTAATCTACTGTTTTTATTTATTTATTTAGGCATGCGTATGAATCCGGGTCACAACCAGGTTACGATGAGCACCAACAACAGAACAATCATAACCAGTACCATAACGCTTATTCGCCGGCAGCGGACATAACACAAAGAAGTGCATCAAATCCAACAAAAAAACGTAAACAAATCAGCAAAAATTAATTGTGTTATTGATTTATATTAGATCCTTTATATGCAAATAGTTTTGTGTTATTTCTCCTTTTTTTTTTATTTTGCTCAGAACAGTATATATATCACTTTACCTCTATAATTATCTTCAGCTGTATGTTTTTTCTTTATTAAACAATATTAAATAAACCGATAGAGCAATTTTTTCATGAAAGAATTTTTTTTTTCGAGAAAAACAAAAAAAAATTGTAATATTTATTCGAAAGAATCGATAGAAAAAAATCAAAAATGACAATCGAAAAAGACATTCTTTTCTTTTTTATTTCTTGATCGAAAAATAGAATAAAATGATGAAAATCATTTTTAATAATAAACAATTTGTATTATTAACATCAAGAAAATCTGAAAACAATGATAAGCAATCATAGTCATTAATGAAGTAGCATTGTTTGAACTTCTGTGTTGACTAAAGTATAACAAAAAAAGTTGTTATGAACGGGTACGCTGAAAATTTTTAGACAAAATATTTGTTTATTTTGCGTTCTCTTAAAAATGTTTCTGATGAGTGAAAAACTATGAGTTACGATGCTCTTTCCCAATGTAGTCTTAGGTCAAAACTTTCATCACATCTGTTAGCCTGTACACTATTCTATAAACATGTATACGCTAATTTATCTTGTTAGAAATCATCGAATATAAGAAGTAATACGAAATTCATATGATTCGGGTTCTCATAAAGTAAAAATCAGTCATGTTTTTATCTTTCGACTGAGCAATTTAAAAAATTGAGATCTAATGAATCATATTTTCTAGAACTCTTAGATGACCGAAAGATTATGCTAACAGATGTTATCGGAAGGCTGATTAATCCATAAAGTGTTTTCCTTCTAATAGACTGATGAAATTCAAAGAAAACAAATAGAACTCAGATTTCAGATGTTACAGCAAAGACATATTATCGATGAAATAGATTCATTTAAAGTTTTAGATCGACATTCATTATGATTGTTGAGATGTAATAGATTAAATATTTAAAACCACAGAATCCTTCCGTCTCGGATTTCTATAGTACAGCTTATTATAAATATTTGAAATTTTCAGGAAATGTAGATTTTGACAAGTAGAGCAAAGATTATCATTCTGGATGCTGTCTTCTATGATAGATTAGGATAAAAATGACGAAAACTGATCTCACCCGTTTTTCCGTAATGCTATTTTAGATTAAACTGAAAACTATTTTACAAGCACTAGACACTGTATGGGATAGATATCTCTTCATATTTTGTCCTTCAAATAAAAAAAATCCGAATAACGAAGATTTCCTTAAAAATTATGTTTTTTCTGAATAGAGCTTCTTTTTTTTGTAAGAGCTATCAACAGTCATCGGAATAATATTTTTTGAAATAAAAATAACAATGATAAACGAAGAGTAGCATTTTTACCTGTATAAATTAGATAAATTCTATGTTTTTATTAAAAGAATAAAACAACATATTTTTAATTATATTGAAATTAATTGAATCGAAGCTTACATGAACGATCGTTGCAGGTTTGTTGTCGTCATTCGTTTTTATAGAAGTTATGGCTTGTGCAAGATTATCCCAATCTTCAAGTATCATATATTGAAATGGATAACTTATTGATATATTATAATAAGAATATTTTTTAAAATTTTCTTTGCCGATAGCATGACGAATTATTTTTTCACAATTAATTATTTTACGAGCATCAAACATAAGTTCAAATATATGTTGATCTTGACAATATTGATCAACATATTCTGCCATTGTTCGTATGATATCTGTTTGACCTATTTTAAATCGAATAGCTTCTTGAAATTTAATAACGATAGATGGATTTTGTTTTTCATATTTATCAATGAAACTAAAAAGTAAAGAATTTTTTTCTTTAGTAAATATTTACCAAAACAAAGAAATCAAAATATTTTATGCTATTTACTCTTGACGTTTTTTCATAGCATCTAGAAATTCATAATAAGTTATATTACACTCATTCTTTTCTGTCATAATATCTATTGGTTCGAAAGCTTGATGTTGGACACTATAACCAAAAAACAAACGTAAACTCATCTTTTATGAATCTTTTAGATATGAAAATATAATAACGAACCAAGAATGTAAAAATTTATCCATAGAATGACCTTGATTAGGATCGTGATCAAAATAGGCTAAATATTCATTGAAGATATCAGACGTTTTCATTGAGGTACAGCAAACTTTATAAGTATGTGCACTTTTTCTATGATGTACAATCATTGGATGATCGAGTTTAGTTATATAATATGATAATCTATTTTTAATTTGATTGATATCTTTTTCAATTTGATCCTGTGGTACAGGTTTATTGTCAAGTTTTACTTGGATATTTTTTTTCACTTGATCAGTTACTTTATTCCAAGCATTCTAAAAAAAATATTTTTTTCATATGATTTTTCATTTAAATATAATATTTGAAGAGATTAAATATGAAATTTCGTATGATGATGGATATTATTTACATATGTTTTTCAAGCCCCCCCTCCCTCAAAAAAGTCACTTTTCGTCAAAATCAACGAAATTAAGATAAACGCAGGGAAAGATAGCCCGTCATCGGATCTCTCATAAACGATAAAAATTTTTATTCGGCACGTTCTTTTTCAAAAATCTTTTAAAGGTTTCCTTCATCCCTTATTCGAAAAACAAACTGGCATTGAAAAAACCCGAAAATCTTTTTTCGATTTTTCTCATTTGATAGGTTCTCGATCGCATCTCCAAGATTTCTCAAAGGAGCTTCATTGTAGCCAATAGGTTTTGTTTGTTTGCAACAACATGTAAAACTGCAGTGCATATGAGAGCCAGTTTTTTTATTAAGATTTGCTTGTATTATATATACAAACCTTTATATAAGTACAGCGCCATTTTTTGAGAGATTTTTTGAGTCATTGAACTTTTGATCCCTTTTTTTCCCTTAAAAAGTAAGAGTTTAAAAAAATGAGTTCTCATAGACACTGCATTCTGACATGCTCTTTCAAACAAAAAAAATATTAAATGTATAAACTGAAGACCACAGAGGAATTTTGAAGACGAAATTAGCTATTTTTTGACTCTTGTTTGATCAGTATCTCCGTCAAACGTCATGATACAGGGCTGAAAATTTCACCATAGCCATGGTTCATCAGCCCCAACATATCTTGAAAATTTCATGCCATTCGAACGTTCCTAGCCTGAGATCGAATTTTGAGGAAGGGGGTCTTAAGAAAAAATAATTGAAAAAATAAAATCTTTTTTTTGATTCGACTGAATAAAATTTAAATTAGAAAAATGAAAATTTTTTGTTAATATGGAGTGCAATAATTATCTTAAGTAAAGCATGCTCATACTTTAACAGGAACCATTAAGCTTAAAGCTTTCTGTTGAAATGGTTGACTTATTTCTTTTTTAAATTTATTATAATTTTCATAGAATAATGTATTACTAGCCAATAATGAACGATAATATATTTCACAATCGATTAATTTATATGGTTTCCATAATAGAATGAGAGCAGAACCACAAGAATCATATGTTGCAATATCATAATCATAAACGATATTATTTACATCAATTGATTGTAGAATTGCTTGATCCAGCAATTGCATGCCACTATTATCATTTATTGTATTGTTTTCTGAATATAAATCAGTAACTCTATTAAAAAAAAGAAATTCATATTTAGTATTTTTCTTTGAATGAAAAAACCTGTCAGTGAAATCCCTACGGCATTAAAATACAAAATACGATGTAGCTACTACTGTTCCTAATTGCAAGAGGACTGCTTGATTCTATCTATTGTAGAACATACATACTTCTTCACTATCCTTTGACTAAATCCTCGAGAAATGCAACAAGAAAATAGTTCGTACATTAGAACGAAATATTATTGCATGTTAGCGTCTGCCACAGCCTGTAGACAGGAAGGATATGGGTTCAAATTTTTAATTCTGTATTTCAACGTTCCTTTTAGATTCTATTTCACAAAAATGCTATAAAATATAGCTTGTCATTATGACATTCAAAAACTCGATGTTTTCACATTTAGATAAAGTTTTAATCTTAGATCTAGTAGTTTACATACACTGTGGTTAATTGTCGAGCTTTTTCTAATAGTTGTAAATCAAAGTCACAATCTGACTTATCATAACCTATCATTCTATCAGCACAGTCTTTGATTATTTTCATTTGGTCGTCCAATAAACCGTACGCATCGACATATTTTTTTAATAGAATTTCATCTGATCTTAAATCCCATTGGCAACATGTTAAAAAAGCCTCAGCACGTCGTTGATGTTCCTTAAAAACAGGTTGGAAACTTATTGATACAAATGGATTGAATTGTTGTGCGATAGCTTCATTATCATTTTTGATCATTCGTTGAAAATCTTGTAATAGATCTGAAAAAAAAAAATATATACTGGGTTTCATGCATCTATCGGAAGAAGAAATGAAATCTATATTTTTCTTAAATTTTCAAAAAGATCCTTTTTCTAATTTTTTTTGTATGTTTACTAAACGAAATTTATTTTTCAATGCATAAAATATAATTAATTTTTTTTCTTCCTCTTTTATCCTCCTTAGGATGTAGTCTGATATAACATGTGAATTGGGCCTTTGAAGAACTTATAAATTCATAGACCATATTGGAATCCGACATGATTGCACGCTACGACATTCAAATCCAAGTTATGTTTATGTAAAAGATTGATCAAATATTCTAAATCACTTAAATGTACTGTAGTTAAATCAATTCCTATAATAAGGATTACAGTCGACGATGAGTTCTATTTTGTGATACTCAATATCTTGAACATGCCAAATAGTTTGAGTAAATTATATGAAATAATTTAATAAGATTTAACCATCACTCGATTAACAATTTTATAATAGATGTTAATTATTTGTTGAACACATTGTCTTTTTAGGAAGATTGTAGTAACTGACTAGCATTAGAAAATACAAAGATAGAATAGAAGCATCATGACAAATCCGTCTGTTTTTCTTTTGTTATGATTTTCATACATTCCTCTAATGAACCAATAATTCCTCTTATTTTTCTCTTGTTATGTTTCAATTTGTTACTTCAACCTTTTCGTTAAGATATTTCTTTCGATTCACAATACTTTTTTTTCTTATGTAAAACATATTTCTCTTTTAAAATATGACCAATGTCATATGTCGATATTAATTCTTTTCTCATGATCAATGACAAATGTCAAGGTATAAACATCCCATATATTTCCAGCATATAAAAAAACACGTTTACGGTTATCTACAGCATATTTTTCTACTTAGTTTCTTTCACACGCAACTGTACAAGCTATTTGAAATAGGTGAGATTTCTCAGAAGAAATGGAAGAGACAGCAGGATATGTATGCCGATGTATAACTTCAGCACATGCATTCGAACACATTTCATCAAGTCTTTTAAGAAGAAAAAACAACGAGTGGCATTATACACAACTCTTATCTTTGTGTCCTTCGTATATACTTCGTTTGTGTTGAAAGACTTAAGTATCATCAGCGTCTACCCTAATGATGACAACAAGTTCGTGAAATTCTGCATGTTAATGCAACATTATCGTATTTACGAAAACAACCATTGAGCTGATTGTGAGTTTTCAGACAAAAATTTACTATTGTATAGTTCAAATATGGGTTTATGCAAGAGTATAGTTTTTTATTTTGACATGTCATTGTCGACTTTTGTCTTTAAAATGTATTTGCTCTTGTATGACGAACTAGTATTATCTCATAGAGATTTATTTTCACTTTTTTCAAATTTTATAATGGTAGTCAATATGTACACCGTTAACTTATTAAATGATCAGGATGTGCATACGTTTTGAAGGTAGCTCTAATGCTAGTAGATGATCAAGTGAAAAATCCGAGAATAGTAGTATACTGAGACGATTATATGCATATCAAATAGTAAATCACAAAACTCTGAAACTCTGAAATTCGATAAAATCTATAGGATTCAACATTGTTTTTTTTTCACGGATAGTAACGCTCAAAATGCGATAATGTTGCGTTGACATGTAGAATTTCACGAACTTGTTTTCATTATCAGAGTAGACACTGATGACACTGAAGCCTTTCAAAACACGCATTATATATGCGAATGACAGCAAAGATAAGAGTTCTGGATAATCTCACTCGTTGTTTTTTCTTTTTGACAAACTCGATAAGTTATATTTGAAGATATTTATCGGAGATGCGCATTGGTATTCATATACTAGTGTTTTTCACTTCTTCTGAGAAATTCCAACTGTTTCAAATAACTTGTATGATTGTGTATGAATGAAGATGAGTAGAAAAATATCTTTTTGGTAAACACGACTATATCTTTAAACACACTGAAAACAGATGTGTTGTTTACGCTTGCGTATTTGACTTGTTCACGAAAACATCGTCAGCTCTTTTTTTGATACTCTTACTTGTTGCTTCAGGATTTTTTTCATGGAGTGGTACAGTTGTTTCTTCGTTTTCGAACTCTAAATTTTGCTCTGAAATTGTGAATGCTGGTTCAGTGGATTCTGTGTTAATGAATAGTAAAATATCAACTTATTATCATTGTGTTCTTTCATATTCTCACTAACCTTTTTGTGCATAATATGTTTCATTAGTCGATTCTGTTGTTCTTTCGCTATCAATCTCTGTATTGTGTACTGAAACTATTGAAGTTGATTCAGTGGATTCTGTTCCAATAAATAATGCATTACCAATTTATAATCATTATATTCTTGTATATTTTCACTAACCTTCTTGTGTATAATATGTTTCATTAGCCGATTCTGTTGTTTGATCGTTTTCGTATGCTGCACTTTGTTCTGGAACCGTTGATGCTCGTTCAGTGGATTCTGTGTCAATAAATAGTGCACTATCAACTTATTGCTATAATTTTCTTCATATTCTTACTAACCTTCTTGTGTATAATATGTTTTATCAGTTGGTACTGTTGTTTCTTTGTTTTCGAAATCTGCACTGTGTGTTGAAAGTGTTGATGAATGTTCTGTAGATTCTATATCTATAAATAGTACATTTTCCAGTCATCATGGTTGTATTTCTTGATATTGTTCGTTACTTTCGTATGAATGGCTTTCTGATTGAAGCTGAACTATTGTTGAATTTTCAGAGTTGATGTTGTCTATTGGAAGTGATGATACGCTTGTAGTATATATTTCGTATGTATCTGATGAATGAAGTATATATATCATCTTCACTATCATCAATATTTTTATTTACCTTTCTGTATATGATTTTCTGTATAAATCGAATCTGTTGAAAGATTTTCAGCAAAAATATCATAAATCGGAAGTGCTGCTGTATCTCCAATATGTCCTATTAAAAAAGAACGATAAGACTGTATTTTTTAAAATTTTTGTTTCGCTTCTTGTTACCTATTTTGTCAATATCACGGTCGGTTGTATTGGCTAATGCATCCACTACAGTGACTATTTCCAAAAAATATCCTAACACAATAGAGAATATAAGAAAAAATGTCCAAGATGACATTCTAACAGATAATAGAAGATACGATGATGATATTAAATTAGGAAGAGAAATACGTTAAGACATTGAATAGTATTAACAGAAACTTAGTTATTAAACAGAAGATTCATTTAGATGAATGAATAAATGCATATAAAATGAACAAATTTCATTACTATAAAATAGTCTTGGTGACAGAATAAAGCGCTGAATATCCCCAATTTTTCATATTATTGTAATTTTTATTTTCACAAATTTATAAAAAATAAATAAATAAAATATGTATGTTCATCGTATTTGGTTTTGAAATAGTTGGTAAGCCATATTAAAGAGTACTCAGTTGGATAACGTCTAACAGCTTTATAAAGAAATGATATTATTTATAAAATATGACTTTAGTAATTTATAGAAGGTTTTAGCAAAGGGATACTTGAAGTAGTTGGTTTTGTTTGTCGGACAAACTTATATAAAAATGAACTTGAACTAATTGCTCGAAAAATATATTGATAGTAGAGTTGAAATCACTAAAAATGCTCTACAGGACAGTTTTAACATATCCTTAGATTACGAAATTCTAGCTTTTTGTCTCTCGGACTTCAACCATTTATTTTAATTAATCAATTTTCGTATGTTGAAATAGTATTTGTGTTTATTATTAACATGTATCGGTAATATGAAATGCTTCTCATACTTCGATGAAATCAGTTGATTTTTCGTATTCATCTATTGCAATATAAAATCTTGAGCATGGTTGTTTTTTGTTATTACGGTGGAAAACAAAATCATGCGCAATTTTTATTGAGCAAATACTACGAGACTATAAAAAAAAAGTAAGAAAGTGATAATATAGAATATAATACAAAATAAACCCAATTGGTTTAATTCTAATTACATCTGACAGTATTATCAATTTGAAAAAAGGCAAAAAAAACAAACAAATGCAATAACAAAATGCAAATAAGTATGTATTTACAGAAAAATAAGAATTCGAAATTTTTTATCCTTTTTTTGTTTCTAAATGGCACCAAATTCTGTAATAAGTACATGATCATTAAATGATGTTTGTTGTTGTTGTTCAGATAATTGTTGTTGTTTCAATAAAATAGGTGAAGTAATAACTGATGGACGTAAACGATGTCGACGTATTGAACTATGAATATTATTAGTATTATTTTGATTTGGATGTATAAGAAATGATTGAGTTGATGAACATCGACGTTGATTTACTGTAGGCGATGATATATCATGAAGAGAATGTTGAAGACCTTAAAAATATATGATCAAATAGAATTAGCCTTGTTTTTTCTTCTTGTTGTTCGATTCTAAGTGCCAGTAATCCGAAAAATTTTCTTTTAACATGATTGAATAGAGCTTGTCGGGTTGGATTCGGGTCCAAAAATTTTCGGCATCAAAGGATTTTATCATCACAGGTTACTTATAAAAATGTTGTTTGTGATTTGTGTTTCAACAAGCAATTTTCAATTTTTATAAACTTTTCTGACTCTTTCAATCTAAATTTCACTACCAAAACATTGTCTAAATATGACCAACACAACATTTCTATAGATAACCCGACAAGCTCTACCCGACTATGATAAAAAAAATATTTACTTAAATTTTGAATCACCAGCACTTGATGAATGACTATAGCTGCTCGTGATGAAAAGAAAATCTTAGTTGTTATGTGTTATAGTGTGAATTATAGGTAATTGAAAGTAGTTTAACTTCAAATCAATTTTTATCTTTCTTCAGAACTTCTGATTCGAATTTGTCTTTTTTTTTTTCTTTACTTTCTGTTGTTATGAGAGCAATGTGCAAAATTTATTGACATGCATATATTGTTTTTCCTTACTTACGTAATTAATATTCTGTATGATTTATTTTATAAAAAATAAAAATAATGAAAAATTTGATGAATAAATTTACCTGGTGAATCTCGAATTGGACGAAATGGTGATTGACGATGATTGTTTAAAATCTAGAAGAAATGTTTTTTTTTTAATGTCTTAATAAATCAAACCAAAGAATATTTAAACATACAAATTCGGGTGCTTTCGTTTGTAACGTAACACGAATGGGACTAGAAGAAAAAAAAAAAGATAAAACGAATATTTTATGCACATTTTTTTATAAGTTGCTTACGTTGATGATTTAGCCATAGGTGCTGAATCATCAATTATTCGAGGTTCTTCTTCTTCTATAAAATAAACATAATATTTAATATTTTTTATTCTAAAAAAAAAAATGATTAATACCTTTTGATGATGAATCAGCTAGACTATCGGTTGATTGATGAAGATGATTATTTTCTATCAAGAAAAAATAAAATAAAAGTTGTCTTCTTCGTTTTTTGTTTATACCTTCTTGATTTTTAAATATTTCAGAAGTTGATGGTTGATATTGACGTGCCGATGTTAAACTTGATGATATAACATCTGGTGCTAAAATTTATTTATATAAAACAGAATATTTAATTTTATTGAATTATTTTTCTACTTGTTGATCGTGCATGAGATATTGGTGTAGCTGTATTATCAACTGATGATAATGATGGACTTATTGCACGTTCAGTTGAATCACCAAGATAAAGTTGTCCATCAGCTGATGATGTACGTGTTCGACGATTAGCCAAACGATCGAGAATATTACGAGTTTTTCGTGAAACAGATTGAATAAGACCACGAGATCTAGTTCAACAAAAATTAATATAGTATTTAAGTAAGTTGTAGGTTGACGAAATAAAAGTTTGGCAATATAAAGCATTTCGATTGAAAAAAAAGGACACTGTCTCTCCATTTGAAGCAAAATTCAACATTTTCGGACACGAACCTTGTGTGATCGTATTTTGATAGTCTTAATGAAACTTTCTGAGCGGTGTTGGATAGTTGCCCGAAAAATACGAACCATAGCGCACCTAACACATTTCTCAGCCTACTAGAATCTATTAGGTTCAAAGTTCTTCGACCTAGTCAAGTACGGGACGAAACAGACGAACTTCATCTTGGAGTACTATATTCTCTATGATTTTATTTTCACACATATGTATTCAAAATATTATCTCAATAGGATAAAGAATAATACCATTTCAATAGAAGGAAACTACTTTTCCCAAAACTGTAATTTTCAATTAAGAATTCAAAAAATGCAAACAATAATAAATTGGAATGATTTTTATGAAAACTTCATATGAATAAATTTGAATATTGACTTACCGTCTTGGTTTATGTATAGGCATATTTTTATATTGTTCCATAATTTTCATTTCAAGTAATTCTTTTTGTCTCATTAATGAATGAAGTTGTTCTCTAATAAACAAAAATGAATATGGGTCTTGCTTAGTTATATCATTTTTTTTTTGAATACATACAAATAACTTCGAGCTTCTTCATGAAATAAATCTTTATTACTTAATGCTTGTGCAAGAACATTTTGATTTTGTAATACAAGATTATGTAATTGTTCAATTAATTGACTTTTTTCTTCTTCTGTTCGTTCAGTTTGTTGTTCAAGAAACTTCAAAAAAAAAAAATAAAAAATTTTCATACAAAAATAAAACATCATTAAGAAGAAAAAAAAACAACAAACTTCATATTTTGTTATTAAATTAGCATATTCAGCATTAATATTTGTATATTTCATTTGTATTGTAGCTAAATCACTTCTTGATTTACTTAATTCTAATTTAATTTCATCTAATTGTTGTTTTAAATTTTCATTTAAATTTAATGTATCTTGTAAATCATCTGTACGTATTTGATATTGTTTTTGTAATAATAAATACTGTTCATCAAATGGTTTTTGTTCAGCTAATTTTGTTTCATATTGATGAATTTGTTTTAATAAATAACTAATACGATTTAATAGATTTTGCTTTTCTTTAACAATTGTATCTAATTCAATTTGTAAATATTTACATTCTTTTGTTAACATACGATTTGTTGTACGTTGTTCAGTTAATTGATTTAATGTTGTATCAAATTCATTTTCAAGTTTTGTATAAAGTTTTTGTAATTGATCATGATCATTTATTAATTGTTCATTTGTTTGTTGAAAATGTTGACAAGAATTTATTGTTATTAAACGATCATTTTCTATTTGTTCATTTAATTGACGTTGTTTAATATTATCATTTTGTAATGATTCTATACGTAATGTTGCCTGTTGAAGATCAGTTTGTAAACGTGTTTTATCTGATTGTAAATCTTGTATATGATGATTAAGAGTTTCTATAGTTTCTTGTAATGAACGTTGTATTGATGTATTAACTTTATCGGATTTTAAAGCAAGATCCTATGAAAATGTAAAATAAAGAATAAAAAAAAAAAGATAACGAAATTATTCAAGGGAACATTTTCGAACTTTGGTTGATAAAAGCGACTAGAGAAAGGAATATATATAAAATTAAAAAGGAAATCTTTCTTTGAAATTATGCATATGTCTCGTTCTGTAGACAAACACTTATCGTTTCCTTTAATATTAAATAATCAAGCTTTAGTTAACTGATATCATGACAAAATTTAGATAAAGACTGAATTTTGAAATATCATATGTTCTTCTTTGGCAGAAAGTGCAATAAAAATAAGCGAACAATGTTGTAACAAAGTGAGTAGAATTAGGAAAGGGAGCAGTCACGGTGTGTTTCGTTCTTCATTCTCTCCTTCCCTTCAACACGATCACTATATGACATTGAGCAAAAAAAAAACATGTTTTTATATTGTACAAAATAGAACACTGAGTTTCTCACTTAAAAATCGTTCTGTTTATGGAGCGAATCACAAAAACTTCCTATTGTAGTTTCGAAAAAAAAATTGATTATCTAGGAACACAGAATTTGTCTCGGGCCCGAGTTTACAAAAAACGATACAGCTAAAGATTTTGGTGTTAGTATTGATTTGACAATTTTCAATGGCAAATTTCGCTTATGAACTAATCGCTTAGTTTGGTTTTGAATTAACTTAATGCTCCTTCCAACTGAGCGAAGAATTTTAATTTATTAAGCATTATAGGATGAAGAAATAAGGAAAAAGAATTAACTGTACATTGACCTTTTTTCTGATACTAGCCAAAATTTGACCCCTTTACTTATTCACGTAGACAAAGAGTGCCAAATACTCATGAAAAGAAAACCTTGAGTCTACAAGTTTAGTTTTTTTTTCTGGTCTGACGAGGGAGCATTCTCAACTGTCACATCGCTTTTAAGCTGAACGTATGCGCATTATGTAGACTCTCACGATCTATGAATTCTCTGAAAAAATTTCGTGCTGCTAGCTTATTATTGCTGAGATACAGCGTTTTTACTGTATGTTTAAGAAAAAAAAAGCCGTGGTCCCCCTCAGGAACGTCGGAAAACTGAATTTCGAATTTCGTCTTGAAACTTTGCATAGATATAGGCCTCGATGAGAATATTTTATTGTGAAAGTTTCAGCTCTTTTCGCTGTTCCTATCCTAAGATATAGCTATCGTAAAATTGTTCATATACACCAGCAGATCCGATGTCCTTATTTCAGACTAGGAGCAACCAAAAAATCTGAAACCTTCACAATAAACTGTTCTCATTGAGGCCTGTCTACGTGCAAAGTTTCAGGTGGAAACTCAAAAGTCACTTTTCCTGATGTTCCTGAGGGGGGACCACGGCTTTTTCCTTAAACATACAGTAAAAATGCTGTATCTCAGCAGTAAGAAGCTAGCAGCACGAACTTTTTTCAGGACATTCATAGGTCATTAGGGCCTACATAATGTCCATACGCTCGACTGAAAAGCGATGTGACAGTTGGGAATGTTCCCTCGTGAGTCCACATAAACGTGTAATGTAATTATTATAAAATAAACTCTTACCAAACGTTGTTGCATATCCGTCATTTCATTATTCTTCCTAAACATCAAAAGAAAAAACAGCATGATTCAGATCGTGAAAAAAGTTCACTTCTTTTTTTTGTTTTAATTTTACGAACCTTTGTTCTTCATTATCACTTGTTTCTTGTGAATTATCACGAAAAATTTTTTGTTGTAATTCTTCTCGTAAATAAGTTTCTTGTTTTAAATCATTTTTTAATTTTTCAATTAAATATTCATTATGTTGAAGAGTTTTTTTTAAATTATCTGTTTCATCTTGTTTTTTTTTTAATTTAATTTGTATTTGTCTTGTTAAATCACATGCATCATTTAATTTCTTTGTTAATTCATCATATTGTTCTTCATTATAACGTTGTTTTAATAGAAAATAATCATTTTTTAATTGTCGATTATTTTCTTCTTCATTTAATAAACATTCATTTAATTTTTTAATTTGTTTTTTTAAATCAAAATTTTCTTTTTCTAATTGTTCATATTGAAGTTGTTTATCAATAAATTCTTTTTCAAGTTGATTAACATGTGCTATTTGTCGAATATAACATTCATTATTATGTTTTAATTCAAGATAATTATGTTCAAGAGTTTCATAATGTTTTAAATTTTTTTCATACATTTCACAACGTTTTTCAATTGTTAAATGTTCACGTGCTAATTGATCATATTTTAATTGAAGATTAATAATACGTTCATTTAATGCACATTCACGTTCTTTAACAATTGTTAAATGATCATGTTCAATCTAAATCAGTATTTCAATAATGAATTTTTGAAATATATTACGATAATATTAATAAAAAAAAAATTTAAATATGGATTAATTTAAGGGTAAATATATGAGTGTCTAAATGCTTTTCTTTAAACTAGCTTTTGTCATGTTATTTAGATAAGAAAGTCTAATGAAAATCTTATTCAAGGTGTAAAACCAAACGATTCTTCTTTCTATTGAAATAGGAATTTTTCAAAACATGAAAATTTTTATTTTTTGAGACAACATATGAACTCAGAAGCTTAATATTTTTTCTCTTGAAGTATTCAATATTTTCAGAAAACAGATCAATGCAATAAAAAAGTTGGATGAGTTCTGTAGAACAAGTCAAAATCTCTCATATTATATATAGACAGAAAATCATAATTGAAATACATTAATCTCTTATTCATTCATGATTTATTTCGATACAAATATATTAGTCGAAGAATAAACTACAAACAATCTTTTGAATAATTTCAATAAGCTACACAATATTTCTTTTCATAACTAATATAATAAGAATAAAATTTCCATCAAACCTATTGGAATTTTAGATTACATTTTATCTTCGTCTTTTTTTCTCGTCTCCTTTAATGTTTAACCATTTATATATACTATTAGGCTACGATACAAACACTAATTCATCAAATCTTTATTTCATTAACTATTCAAAATCTTTGCTCTGATTGTTATTCATACTCACATTGCATTCATTCAATTCTTTTATCGAACGTTTTTTGAAAGAATTAATGAACTTCCTGACAGAACGATGCATTGTTTTAATCTATTACATTTTTGTTTGATTAAGTCGAATAGCCAAAAGTCACATTTACTTAGGTAAAAATATGATGAACTTGTTACAATATTTCTTTTCTGTTCTACCGCTATCACTACTTTTTGTACATCTTAATATATATTGACAGCTCAGACATTAGAAGAGACGAGAAAAAAAGAAGATACACATCGAAGACAAAAACGTAATACGACACTCAAACGAGTCTTATCGAAATTTTATCATTAAAATATTAATTGAAAAATGATCAAATATTATAGAAAATAGACAGCATTATTTTTACTATCAGATCGTACAGAAAGTTTCTTATTAGGGATAAAAATACCTCCGATACTACTTTTAGTATGCCTTATATTGTATTAAGACTGTTCGCCTCTTTTTTGGGTACTTCTATGTCTCGAACAGGGTACAATGATTTCTCATGAAATTTTTACTAAAGATATATCATCTAAAACAAGAAGACACATGTTCGAGGAAAAACGATTTCACACAAGGTTTTCCATAATAACACATCGGACTCACTTTTGAACTATGTCAATTCTATTTGTTCGAGTTTAAATTTTGACAACAGATACTGGAAAGTATTTCCTAGATGTGAAATCGAGCGATTTCGTTTTTGACGTTCCTATCCGAATTTAAAGAGCCCTGCACGCCATCATCGTCGTTTTGGATCCTAACTTTTACGTATTTCTCTCATGAAAAAAAAAGAAAGCAAGGATTTTAAGGTGAAGTAGTTTAAGGTATATTCAGAAAACTTTTCTGTTTGGTAGGACAAAGTTAGACGAGGGTCATAAGTGAGTCCTATGAAAACCTTGTTTGAGAATTTTTTTTTTCTTCAAACACGTGCCTCCTTATTGGAGATGCTCTTTCTAGTATAAATGATTCATGCAGATCACTTGTATTCTCTTCAAGAACTACAAATGATCGAAAAGAGAAGAGTGGGTACTCTTAATTTGTTGTATAATTCAAAGAAAATGAATGTTTAATTTTCGAACTATGACTAAAACAAAAGAAGTTTACTTGTAATTGACTAATTTGTTGCATTAATTCTCCAATTCTATCTTGTAATCGTTTATTTTCTTGTTCAATATCTTGAAATTTGGCTGTTGTTTCCATTTGTTCACGTTGTTGTATCGTATTTAATGTTAATTTTAAATGTTTATTATTAGCTTCTAATTCTGAACGTATTTTTTCATATTCAATTTTATTATCTTGTATTTGATTTTGTAAAGATAATTTTTCTTTTGCTAATTGATCATTTTTTATTTCTAAACATTTAACATTATTTAAATATTCATTTATTTGTTCATTTAATAATTGTATATGTATAGTTTGTTTTTCATCATCAATACGTTTCATATGCATATCAATATCATAACGTTCTTTTAATGCTGTTAATTGATCTTTTAATTGTTTATTATCAATATCATATTTTAATAAACGATTTTTAATTGTTTGTTGAATTTGAAATGATATTGATAATGAACGTGATTCATCAAAATCTTGACGTGATTTAACTTGATTTAATTCATGATGTAATGTATCAACTGTATGTGTTGTTGAATTTAAATCTAATTCAAGACGTACTTTATCTTCAAGTAAATTTGAAAGTTTTTCTTGTATCATATCACGTTCATGTGTTATTGTTTCAATATCATGTTGAAATTTTTTTATATCAATTTCACTTTGAAGCATTTCATTTATACGATATCGATATTCTAAATTAAAATATAAAAAAATGTTTTAATTTTTTTTTTGTATAGTTAGAATTTTACTGATAAACTCTATCGATATATTTTTTTTTTCATGGTCCCAAATGTACTTAACTATGTCTGATAACTTTTGAAGGAAATGTTCTACAGTTTGCTTGACATATAGTTAATTGATGACTAAAGACCTTGGATATAAGGATAAAAGATTGATGAGAATTCCTGTTATGGGAATACGTCAATGACCATGATAAATATATTGTGCAATATATTAAATATATAGTGTGAAAGGACTTTTTCGCTTTGTACATCATCATGACACAGTTAATGTTAAATGTTTTCTTTCTATATCAAATATTTTTCAAGTTTTGCCATGAATATTATATTTGGATTTTAAGAATTTAATACCGAAATTTATCTTTCAACGCTGAATGATGGAATCAGCAGTAAAGCGACAAGCTCAACTCGATTCTAAACGCTTAAAATTCTCTTGAATAGAGTACTATAATTACAAGATATATTCTGAGATGAACACCACTCTCATAAAATCAGACTTTGAGTTTTTACTAGAAGAAAAGGTAGAACCGTTGATGGTAAAGTAATAAAGTTATTAGTTAGCTCACCTTATTAGTTTTCACATCTTTACACTCCGCTCTAAACTTATCTTTCATCTAATAGTTCATACCTTCATTTTCATGTTTTGTAACACTTATACTGACATAACTGTATATAGTATAAATTCTCCAAATATTAGGCTTTCAGGTCCAATCAATATAGTCAATGCTTCCAAAAGAAATCGAGAACATAATATTACACTTTATTTTTGTTAGCGAGGTATACAAAAAAAATAAAAACGATGTACCTCAACAAAAGCTCAGATAGACGAAGAGAAGCGATATTCAACTAATGACAGAGTTAGCTGTGAGCGATCATAATTTATCATCGTCTAAACATAATCTCAAGTATATTCCTATATGCAAATTTTAAGAATATGTCAATTTCTTTATCAAACTGTACTTGGTATACTCCGATTTCTCTCAGTCACGTGTGATAGTACACTAGCTATTGAAAGCATTTCATATATTTATGTGAGTACATGTATGACTAATTAAAATTACACAAGTCAATGACAATACAAATTGTATTTATATATTTCTGCTTGAATATACTCAATATGTTAAACAGTATTTTCGAATGATACTAGAACTCGTCAAATCATACTCTAAAAGTAACAGTCAATCATGACTTGATAATTATAAGATTGATTGAAAAATTTTTCGAATGTGTTAATAGTAAAAAGTCTTTCGTATCTTCGAAACAACTTGACAACCTTGAGTGTTGTCATGCTCAGAAAATTAAAGTGATGACTTGATGGAAGAATGAAACCAACTGTCACCTAAATTTTCCTACAACAGACGACATGTCACCTGAATGTTTTTCTCTTGAAGCCTATGCTAGTCCTATTCACCTCACAAGGACATTGTCTGCTTAGTTTTATTTCGCTTTCTAGCAGAGACAATCAAAGGATGTTTCAAAATTCAGTTGTTGTTTATAGTTGATATATTTAACAATAGACGTGTATTTTAAACGATCACTTTTTGTTTTTTTGCTCTTTCAAATTCTCAGTAAAATCTAACTTCAAGAATAAAATTACCTTCGATTTGTTGTTCAAGATGTGAACGAGCTTGAGAAAGAAGTTGATCTATAAAAGATTCAATATATATATATATTTTAATGTGTAAAATAAAGAAGAAAACAACAAATAAATAAAATCGTACTTTCATTTTGCAATTCTTCTAATCGATTTTTTAATGTATCAAAATCATTAAAACGTTCTTTATATCTTTCAAGTTCTTGTTGATATTTTTCCATTTTCATTAATTTATCATTTAAAGTATCTATTTCATCACGATAAAGTCTTGTTAAACGTGCATTTTGATTTAATTCAATATTTTCATTTTTAATACGATTTAATTCTGTTTGTAATAATTCAAATTCTTCACGCATAGTTTCAATTGTATCCATTTTATCATCTCTAGATTAAAAAAAAAAAAAAAAGAAAACAAATTTGAAATTCTTAGAACAAATAAAAAATCTCATACAAATCTGATTTCATTTGACGCATTTTAGTTTTATATTCTGTAATTTCAATACCAGGATTTTTTGTTTCAAGATCATTTAAAAATGTATTCAATGATGTTTGACTTGGTGTTGAATGTAAATTAGTTCCAGTATTACTACCACCTATATTTAATAAATTTGATGAACTTGATTGATATAATTCAAGTTTTTGTTTTAATGTTTGTTTATCTTGTTCTAATTCAAGTATTTCTTCAAAATAATGATCACGTTCATTAATTAAATTAATTAAATTAATAAATAAACATTTAAGATATTTATTATTATCTGTATTAAAATAATCATTAAAAAAATATTCTTGTGGTTGAAGTATTGTATTTATTTCATTTGTTAATTCTTCTATATGTGGCATAAGAGATTGTTGAATTGATTCATTTAATGTAGCTAAATGTTGAATATGAATATCTTTTCTATCGCCACCTGATACTGAACATGCAAGTAAAAGTAATAAAATACGTTCGATTTCATCGAATGAATATTCTAAATAAAAATTAAAAAAAATTCAATTATTTATAGTTTATTAAATTAAATTTTATACTATGATTGTTTGTAACAAAAGAAAGCATATTAATTCTGAAGATCTTTTACTGTAGCAATAAAATGACTATAAAGATGAATTATATGTAAAAATTGACGAATTATATTTTTCATACTGTTATGTGTATATATATAGGATATAGGAGTTATTAGAAATGAACTAGTTTTCTAAAATAGAGATATGAAACTTTAGAGTTCTAATATCTTGTCGATTCATGATTTGATTCTTAATTTTACACATAATTCATAAGTTCAAAACAGTTTACAAATTTCGTCTTTCATTTGTTTTGTTCTACATATAGGCATGCTCATTATTCATTCTTGTTTCTTTATTATAACGTACTGAAGATATTTTTAGTAAATATTTATCAAGCAAAATAATAGTTTAGCAGATAATGATAATCATCATTATGAAAAATAACTTAATTAAAAAAAATATTAATATTAAAAACTATTTAAAAAAAAAGAAGAAAATTCATTAATATGATGAAAAGTCAAATGAAACTGTTTTCAAGATTATCTTTATTAGTTAGTAAATTTAATCATCTACATAATCACATCTTACTAATGTTTAATAATATTTTTTTTGTAAGCCCATCTTATTCAATGTCATCGACAAATAAACATAAAGACTATGTTTATTATTTTCAGTTCAAAATACACATTGATGTTTAACTTCTTTATTATTCTATTTATTTAATGCTTCATCTATCATTCTTAGTATTATAGTCAATGTAATGTTTACTATATTAATAATGCATGTATGAACATTTACTTTTCTTTTTATTATTTGTTGTTGTTTTTGTTTTTTTGAGACTTAATTTAAATTCTTTAATATTAATATGTTGAGAAGAAAAGAATAATATTCTTTTATTAGCATTTCATTAATAAAAATTATTTAAGAAAACAAGAATATATCAATAGACTACAGAATTTATAGTTAAGCATTATACCAATACAATGCATAATAACCCGCGGCGGGTTAATGACTGTGTAACACGCTAGTCAAAAAGAAAAAGAAATCATTCAACCCTCAAGACAGGCTGGGTTAGATCGCATTGATGGGTCAAACAAAAAACATTATGACTTCCACATTTCTTTGCTGACTTCACACATTTATATAATTACATGAGAATAATTTTTTTTTTGAACATGCAACATTTTCATTTTGTCTAAGAAACATATTCCCCTATAGAAATAATTTAAATATGAAATTAAACGATTTGAATAACCTTCTGACGTCACATATATATAATAACTTTTATATTATCGAATCTACATATACGTTAATATATAAGCGATTTCTTTTTTATTGCTTCCATTAATTCAAGCTGTGTTTCTTAAATATTATTAAAATCGATTATACACTATGAATGTTCGTACGTGATATATTGATTACTATGAATAGAATCTAAATTTTGATCTTATAGAATAAGTTAACGAATGACATCATCTTATTTCTAGTTTTAATTCTATTTATGACGTCAATTTCATAGAGAATATAATTATATGCTATTGATTATTAAAACATGTAAAAATTTGATACACCTATCAAAATCAATTAAATTACTTCCGATAAATCAAGTTTCATAGCAGCAAATTTTCATATAGAATTTCTTTCTTTTTTGTCTACTTCTACTCTAAAAACTAATGGTTTATCAAAAAAAACAAAAAAAAAGAGTGTATCCTATCAAAAACTCGAATCACTACTGTTTAAACAAACTTTCTTTTTTTTTATAAACATTTAAAGAACTTTTAAGATTTCAACATAATCAAACTTTTTTTCGATCTCCCGTAGTCATCATTGAAACCTTTCTAATATCGATCTAACATTTTCTATTCGATTTTTCAAAAAAAAGAAAGAATTCTCTCTTATCTTTTTTCTTTTAATTAATAAAATAAAATAATTTACAAAACCAACCTGCATACGGTTCATGAGCAATTACATAAATATTAGGTAGTTTAGCCACAATTATATAGCGAAGCACATCCTTACAAAAGCAAAGCATAAAAACATCAAGCCAAAATTCTTTTTTTTTTTTAAAATAACATTACTTGAACAAATGATCGAATACTTCGTAAAATAAAATCTAAATTAACTAATCGACTACTTGTATCAGTTGCTTCATTTGGTAAACGAGAATTTTGTAAACGAGGATCACTATTTTATTTAAATTAAAGAAAAACATCTATTATTTTATTTCTCAAATTGGCGTTTTGTTTTTTTCACTTACATTGAACGAATAATAGCATGAAAACATGTACTATTAATTAATTGCTCATATGATAATTTATTTTCTTTTTCAATAAAACTTTCCGCCCAAATAATTAATGGATGTTTTAATAATTCATTTATATCACGAGTAACAACTGAAATTGTATTCATATTCAACAATAATACTCATAAATGTTCTATATCTATTGTGACCGATCGGACAAATTTATACTAGCGCCACAATACATGTAAAAATAATCAATGAATGTAGCGAAATATGTATTGAACATAGAAAGAAAAAAAAAAAGAAATCAAATGAACCTACAAGTGCTAATAATGATCTATCTATATTGTTCTTTTTTTTTCTTTCTTGTTCGATTTTTCTTTCTTGCCGACAAGGTTTTATCTATTGTGAAAAATGTGTTGCATTCTTTGTAAAACAGCATGCGCGCAACCAGTCATATCTGTACGCATAATAACAATAATGATATTTATGAAAAATAAAAAGAAAAGCATACGTGTGATTAGTAGTAAAAAGCGTCTGTCGACAACGGCTTTTAATGGCGAACATAACGACAGCAGATTATTTGCCTTGTCCATTAAGTAAGTGTGAAGGTTAAAGAATTACTTTATTTCAACTGATAAGATAAAATCAAAGATATTTCGACTATAAAAAAAAAAAAAGAAAAGAAAAGGATTAACACTCGTTATTTTTATTTGCTTGTTTTTATGACTTCTTCAGCATCAAGTAATATACAAAACAATACCGATTCGAATGCTCAAAATGATACATCAAGAGTTTATAAAGTTTATCCAAGACGTTTTGGTATATTAGTTATTTTTTGTATATGTTCATTATCAAGTAGTTTTCAATGGATTGAATATGTTATTATACAAAATATAATTGTTCGATACTATAATGAAAGTTTACCTGAAAGTTACGAAGCAAAAAATAATGCTGTCACATGGACTAGCCTTTTATATATGGTAGTTTTTATATTTATGTATATGCATTAAGTTATGTGTATTATTATTTAAATAGGTTACTTATATTCCATTAATGTTTCCAGCAATGTGGTTGTTGGATCGCCAAGGATTGAAAATAACATGTTCAACAGGAGCTTTTCTTAATGGTCTTGGTGCATTTATTAAATGCTTTAGTGTAGGAACAAATCGTTGGTGGATTGCATTTACTGGACAAATAATTTGTGCATGTGCACAATCATTTACTTTAGGTAAATATACTTTTTTGAAACGAGTTGATTATGTTTAAGAAAAATGTTTTCTTCTTTCTTTTGTTTTTAATATTTTATAGGAGTTCCACCATACATAGCTGCTACTTGGTTTAGTAGTAATAGTGTTTCAACAGTAACAGCTATTGCCGTTTTCGGAAATCAAGCAAGTAAAATAAATGATTGATCAATAGAATTTTACTTATTTGTTTTTTTTTGTTTGAAATATGATATAGGTTGGTATTGCACTTGGATTTTTGATACCAAGTAGATTGATACCTGATGTCGAAGATCTTGATTTGATTGGACAACGTTTAAGAATATTATATTATCTTGTAGCTTTTATTTGCATTTCTTGTTTTATTGCTATGATTATTGGTAAGGTGAATATATTATGGTTTTATTTCTTTCGTATAGAAGTTATATTTTTAAAGTTTTTCAACGTCTCCCTCCAACACCGCCATCACGAGCACAAGAAATAGCTCAACACAGTTCTGAACAAAATTATGCACAAACATTGAAACGTTTATTAACTAATCGATGGTTTCTTCTATTGTTACTTGCTTATGGTTTTTCTTTTTCAATGAAAAATTTCTTTTTTCTAAATTCAATCTTTTATTTTATTTTTTTTGTAGGCCTCAATACCGGTGCTTTCTATTCTATATCAACACTTTTAAATCCTGTTTATATGTGGTATTTTGATGTAAATAAATCAATAAGGAAAAAACAAAAAGTTAAATATTATTTTTTGCATAGAAAAAAACTGAACATGCTAGTAAATATGCTGGTACTATTGGGATGCTGTTGGTAATTGGTGGTATTTTTGGTAGTCTTATTGGTGGCTATATTTTGGATAAATCAAAAGCATATAAGTATGAAGAAATATTTTCTTTTATTACAAAAGTATAAACATTCAATATGTGTTTTTGTTTTTTTCATTAAACATAGAACAGTAACTTTTGGTGTTTATGTTCTTTCATTTTTATCTATGGCATTATTTACTGCAACTATACATCTTCATGAATATGTTGCTTTTGTTACAATGATAATAGTTGGGTAAGAATTTGTGTGTAACAATCTATTGATTATCGTTTTGATTTTTTTTTCAATACGTATGATAGAAGAAAGATATTTTTTCGAATATTTGAAAACTTATTGAGTCGAAATTTCATTATAAATAATGAATTAATAATATCAGAGAATAAAAATTGAACGAGTTGGTTCATGAAATGTTGTTTCCGTATTTTCGATTAAGTCAAAATATGTTGAGATTGGTTGAAAAAAAAAAGTAAGATTTACTAAAATTCGACTAAATGAACATTAACAATAGTTATATTATTGTGAAGAGATCTCTTCTAAGCTTTTATAGTTTAATCTACGTGTATCTATAAAAAGTCTATTTTTATCCTGAGTTAGATCACGTAAAAGTTTGAGTGAAGCAGAGCATAATTAAGGATAATAAGGCTTAAGAAAAAGTAAAAAATCTGAAGTGTCTCGAGTTCTGGAGAATCCTTCTTCTTTTTTATATCTATTAAGAAAGAAAGTAATATAGGATCTACTTATTTTTTTATATTACAAATAATTATTTGATAAATTAACTGAAATCAGTTGATATAAATACAGCAAATATATACGTTATTTTATTCTTTCAACTAGCTCAAATATATAAATTGATCTCCTGAATTCACATTTTTTACATAATGAATTTAGTTTCAATCTTGTTTCGGAAAGTTGTCATAGAACGAATTTTCGCTAAAAAATATACAAAGAAAATTTCGAATATTCTTTCCAAGAACGTCTAATATAGAAATAATCATATTATTATCTATCCTATATTTTAAAAAATGTCATATACTAGAGATGCACTTAAGTTGTATTCTTCGAGTGAGATCTAATTGATTTTCATTGCTATTATTGTCCTTGACGAAGTATGACTAACAAAGATTAGCATTAGCTAAGAATTTCGAGTTTTTGACGGATTCTGATGTCTTTCAGCTATATATAGTATCGGATAGAAAGACCAAAATTGACTAACAAGGAAATATTTCTAAGTTTCAAATTGCATTTGTGTCGCAACTATGCGCATCATACAGATTCTGATGAGTTATAAATACTGTGAAAAGAGGTTGAACGAATAGCTTATGACCGTCGAGATATTGTATTTTTACCGTATATTTTTATCAGAATGCTGCGGTCGCGCTCAGGAACATTGAGTTTTGAATTTCTACTTGAAATTTTGTACTGAGACAGATCTTAATAAAAATAGTTTATTGTAAAAGTTTTTGAGGTTTTTATTAGTTCTATCCCAAAATAAGTTTATAGTAAATATATGTTTTTCACCTCGCTCATATACAATATGATATTGCGATGTTCTTGTTTTAGAATAGATGCAATTGAAAAATCTGAAACTTTCACAATATGCTGTACTCGTTAAGATCTGTCTTCATGCGAAGTTTCAAGTCGAAATTTGAAACTCAGTTTTCCTGAAGGGAACCACAGCGTTCATTTACAAAATACCGTAAAAGTGCAGTATCTCCGCAACAATCAGCTAAGGGCACGAATTCTTTCCAAGGTATTCATAGCTCATTAGAATCTACATGATACATACAGCTTCGACTCAAAGACAATTTGATGTTTAGAAACGTTCTGTCACAGGTCTTCCTTTAATGATTGTTGAAAATCGAAGGTTTTAAATTATCGTTAAAGCAAAAGGAAAAGAACTAGGATTTGATACAACTCTATTATATATTGAACAACCTTCAAATATTTTCTTTTTCTAGATTTTTTATGACAGGTTATTTACCTATTGGTTTTGAATATGGTGTTGAAATAACTTATCCAGAGAACGAAGCTATATCAAGTAGTTTATTGAATGTTAGCGCACAGGTTAATAAATTAAAAAATGAAAACTAGAAAAAAAAACATTAAGTTATTAAGGTTAAAATTTTTTGTTTGTAGGTATTCGGTTTGTGTATAACACAATTACAAGAATATTTAATATTTAAAAAAGAAAAAATTCTTGCATCCAATATCATGTTATGTGGTGCATTAATAGTTGGTGCAATTATAACCATGCTTATTCGTTCTCCTCTACGACGACAAAATGCTCAACATAATATTCATATTTTAATTGATGATAAGAATTTAACTCCTGTTATTTCAAATACAAATTCTACGGTTAATGCATGAAGAAAACAAAATAATAATAAATCATTTTATTTAACATGTTTTTTGTAATCAATAAATTCGGTTTTTCTCTTTGTGGTGCTTTTTAGGTATTAGAATTCATTGATAATTCAGCATGAAACAATAAATATTTGAATTGCTTATTTTATTTAATTTATGATTATTTTGTGAGAAATGCTAATTTCAATAATTGATCATTTTTTGTATAAGAATTTTCTATATATTTATTTCATTAGTAAAAGTATTTCTTATATAGAAAATTTGCAACTCATTGAAATTCAACGAAGTTTAAACTTTAAAACTTTTTGCTAGATTTTCTTCGAATTTATGGCTTGTGATATTTCACTATCAATCTATACGTCAGTAACGATAAATATTGTCTTTCTAGTCTTATCATTCCTTCGTTGATAACTTCAGCAATGTTACACCAATATTTGATTGAATTATATAAGATAATTGATCGCTTGGTTGATAAGTAATCAACAAGTGAATGATATATTAATTTTTCAATGACATCTCTCTATTGTGAATAACATCGAGATCATTAAAAAGAGTTTTATTTAGAGAATTAGCGTATGATATACCTAGAAATGAAGAAACTGTTCTAGAATATCCACCTTTACACTTAAGTTCTAGTTAAACATTTGGTTATCTATACTGTTATTCATCAGTTTTCATGTCATTGTGTCTTTCTACTTTTGAAGTAATATCGAAGTTAGTTGACAGCTTGATTTTAACACATTCATTAATTCAATTTTTTTTCTCTTGCAACATAAGATCATATCTTGATGACATTATTTGCTCTACATACACAGCATTCAAATCATGCGCAAAGTGTGTGTACTTGTAATTTAGATGAACCAGATGGTAAAAAGCGTGAATAAGATTGATTAAATATTGCACATGTATAGGTTATAAGAGCAAGAGAAATCACAAGATCAATGTTCGTTGTTCAAGAACTTTTTACTATAGAATGATTTCGAAGATATATTTATTTCATACGGGATAAAATTTTATTCTGTTAATTAAACAGGTATTTCATTAGTAGTTGAAAATAGAAAATATATGTTTAGAATCTATATAAATGGCAGGTTTAGAAGTTAGTATATTAATACTAATGTAATAGGGAAGATGAAAAGACGCAAAAAATTATGTTGAATGTTTATTATGCGTCTGTATACTTCTGAAGGAATAAAATTCCTTCATTTAAATAGAAATCACAAAGAATAACATTATTATTCTTTAATATTTTCTTTTTATTATTAACATAGTTTATAGCTGCTGATCTAATGTTAAAAAAATAGCTAAATTTTAGCAAGATAAAACCATAATCTAGTTATTATGCATAAATGTTAAAGGTTCTATTCATCTGTTGACTTAATACTACTTTGTGATTGATGATCAGGTTCTTCAATATTTGTATTGTCAATATCATAATCGTCACCATTATCATCATGAACAAAAAGATTTTCAACTTCTTGATCCTGTATGTCTTGTTCTTCTACTTCATGTATTATCTCATGTTGTTGTTCTTCTTGTATGGGTGATTGCCGGAGTAACATTGGTGAATCTGATTTTTTTGATGATGTTTTAGTACCAGTTTTACTTCTTGTTGAATGACGACGGTGCGGTTTATGATTACCCTGTTTAGAAGATGTTAGTGAATATGCTTTTGATGATAATAATGATGAAACAGTTGACGAATCAAACTGTTCACGTAAACGCTGTTTTTGACGTTGTTGTTGACATATCACACAATCATATTCAGATATTGATGAATTTGATTTATGACGACGACTTTGTCGTGGAACAAATGATGCATGAGTATTCATTGCAGGAGTTATTGTTGTACCATTGTCAATAGTATATAATCGTTTTCGTTTTTTAGTACCAAATACAGATGTCATTGTATTATATGGAGAAGCTTTTGGCAACCAACCAGAATCAGATATAAGATATCCATTTAATATAGGAGGTAAAATTGGTTCACTACGAGGATGATATGAAGTTAAATCATAATCAAAATGAGATTTTGATGGTAAATGACGACGAGAACGATTGGATGTAGTATCTTGACTTTGACGAACTTTATTTTCATATTTGAGTTTACTTGGTGTGATTCCTTGATGTTCATGATTATTTATTGCAAGATTAGAATGACTGGACGTAAGTTTTCGTCCTATTAAAAGTTGAGATTGATCTGTTGCATTGTAAACTGGTAATGAACCTTTTGTTAATTGACTATTTATTACTTTAGATGTAGACAGAGTACTATTGGTTGCCAGTACTGCAGGTTCAGTAAAACCAACATCTGTAACGGCACCTTGAGACTGTAAAAGTGGAGCTTCCATTGGTGCACGTAAAGGTTGATTATAACCAGCTAGCGTAGGTGTCATACCAGCAGATGAAGGTGGTTGAACTGTTATTTTATGAATAAAAGGTAGTGCGGAGGAAACAGGAGCTGCAATAGAGGCTGCAACAGGACATACAGGAGGAGATGGTCGTGGATAATAACTAATCATTGGATATGCAGGTGTTGTTGTTGATGGCATAGAATAAGGCCAAGAACACCAAGCTGATCCAAGACCAAAATTATATGATGAACCATAACTTGCTGATGAAAGCAAAGGGTTTGGTGTACCATAGGGAATAGCCATAACCATACCAACATTATTAGGAAAATCAAATGCCGGAGGACGATAAGGCATAGGACCCGATATTAAAGCAGACATAAACGATGATGGAGTCATCCAGTTAACAGCACTCGTCGATGCCATTGGATACATGCCTTGTACTAATGGATTAAATGCAACAGGTAATGGAGTAGCAGCAGCCATCATCGGAGCAGGCATTGGCATACTAAATGCAGAAGGCGTGCCATAAGACATCATTGACATACTTGGTACCATTGGCATGCTTTGCATTGCTGACATACATGGCATCACTGGCATACTGGGCATTACTGGCATACTGGGCATCACTGGCATACTGGGCATTACTGGCATACTGGGCATTACTGGCATACTGGGTATTACTGACATATTGGGTATCATTGGCATACTAGGCATTACTGGCATCCTTTGCATCAATGGTGCCATTGGCAAACCTGGCATTATTGATAAAGGTGACATCATTGCTCCAGGGCCTAATAAACCAGCATTAGCAAGCGCAGGCAATGCCTGTATCTGTCCGAATTTGGCTACTTTGTTTAACATAAATGGCATCATCTGCATTGTAGTATTGCCCAAATAATAATTTCCATAATTCCACGGAGACACACCAGGTATTTGATTAAGACCTTCATATTAAGTGAAATTCAATTTAGTTTTTCTTTTCCTTTCTTTTTATTAAAACTTACCTTGAGCATATCGACCACCTAAATTGCGAGGTCGAAGTGTCGTTGTCGTTCCATACATGCGTCCTATTGCTCCAGTTGGTGGATATTCTAAACCAGGTTCTGCATAAGGGCCATATGCACCTAATCCACCGCTTGAATCAATGCCTGGCGGATACGATCTTGGAGGCGGTACAGCTTTGTAGAAAGGATCATTAGATGGATTTCGATTTTTTCCTGATTTACCACCCATGTTATGTGTCTACGACGTTTATTCAAAAAACTCTTTGTCTTGTGGATATTGTTTTTTGTCTTTTTTGTCACTTCATTACCTTCGAGTTACAATAACGATGGTAAGAAATGTGTCCTTTTACGAGAAATAAATATTGACAATCGTCAAAGATTGGTTTTTTTTTTCTTGATGAATATACTTGTACATGTGTCTTGTTCTGCTTCTTTACTTTTGATGCTTCATGAAGCGTTACTATTCGTCCGGACGAACGTACACCTGAACGTATCTATCGTATAGACAATTTTGTCTCATAACACGCATTGCGGTTAGACCTTGTACGAATACAAATATATGAAGAAACCCGAAGGATTGTCTCCGTATTACAAGGTTGGATAATATTATATTTAATATCATTGAATAATAACATCAACAGCTATTCTTTAATTTTATCAGCATTATATGTAGTTTTTTTTAAATAATGTTTTCTTTACAAGGACTCATTCTTTAATGAGCTTTAACTCATATTCTAGCCAGTTTTCTGTACAAAAAAAATCATATTCTGTTTTCTGTATAAAATATTTACGAAGGATTAAACATCGATCAACACTTACGTCACCAATCATATTAGACACAAAATTTATCTTATTAATCTATTTAATAAAAATCTATTTGACGCTTTTTTTCTCAGAAAAGAAACGACCCCTATTAATTAATGTCAGCTATATGGTTTATCCAAGCGTAACACTATTACCTGTGCGACACGTTTTTTTACAAATTATCTCGGATAGTTTTGATAGCTAAAAAATTTGTTCAAACGTCATTCAACGCAGTTCATCACACTCTATTTATTCCATAAGAATGACTCGTTTTTTTTTGAGTGAAATCTCGGACTGCTAGCAAGCTTTTATCATTATGTAACGGTGTTACATAAAAAGAACCTTTTTCTTCAGTGCTGCTGATAAAAGTCTAATTTTTTACAAAAATATTTCTTCAAATGAAATGATTCTAGAGTCAGTTGTATACAACATTATACAAGATTTGTAGCAGTAAAAAATATTTTCTCCAAACTATTTTTGTTGTGATAAAAAATGCAAAAAAGCAAACATAACGCTGTTACACAGTTTTTTGTCGAGCAATTTTGTGGCCCTTAACTTTTTACAAAATATCTAGCTTTTATTAATATACGTCTTTTCGGTATATCTAATCGTTTTACACAAGAATCAAGTTGCTACATCAAAACGGTAGCTCATTATATGTAAAGTAAGTTAGAAACTCGACAACAATGCACAAACTGTTCTTAGCGATGAAAGTCAAAAATAAATAGGCTATTTTGTAGAAAATTAACTTCTGCATGGACTGGTGTATCATTCAACATTTTTTTTTGAGAAAATTTCTCGTTCATAAAATTCAAAATTCGATTTTTGTAAATTTAAAACCCAATTTTTCAATACCAAAATTCAATTTTCTCATGAAGACTAATATTAAAATCAGAATTAGCGTAAAAAACAGCATCCAACAATACATTCAGATATGTCCTACTCAAAAAAAAAAAATTCTTTTCAAAAATTTGATTAGTGAAGTGTCAAGTACGTGGACAAGACGTATATTTCTTTTAAGTATTGTTTTATAACACACAATAATACAGAAACAAAAGAAACAGAAAAAAAAAAGAATCACACATAAACACGGCAAAGACAATGAAACTTGTACATATAGCCCAAAGACAAGGAGAAAAAAACAACGTTCTTAATTAGTTTTATGTTTCTATTTCATTAAAACTCACGTCGATGATATCGATCAGGATCATAATATGATGTAACAACAACACGATTAGCAAATTTTCGTCCTGTTAATGCTTGTTGTGCTTTTTGACATTCACCAATTGATGTAAATTCGACAAAGATCTATTTAAACAAAGAAAAATTCACAAGTTTTTGTTTTATTTAAATAATTTGAGAACAAAAGATACTTTAGATCGCCAATTTTTTTTTCGAAATGGTGATTTTTCATTATCCATTCTGGAGGAAATTTACACAATATCTCATCCAAATTCATCATTTTGGTTTCAAGAATCAAATATATAAAGGTATCATCAAAGCAAGTCATGTGTGATCAAGCGAATTGGGATTTCACTCCAGATCGACCACACTCGATGCAATAGTTAGTCTAACTCGCAAAGTATATGCATCACAGAGTGTCGGTACCTCAATGTCGCTATTCTGAAAAAAAGACTGACCAACGATACTTTTAAGTAATGCCTATTTCAAAGAAAAAACGGATGAAAGTGTTTTTTATAACTGTTGATAGGAACAAGATACAGAGCTGCAATTTTCATATCTAGAAACAGGGAATGAAAATACATCGAATCGTATATTACAGGTATCTTGAAGGTTTTCAATGAATTGCTATGAACACATATCACATTTTTGTTATTAAAACCAACCATTTTCCGTCACTTTCTTTTGATTAGAAAAAAAGTTCAAAAAATATCGTGGAACAATCAATCCATACTATATGATTCGATGCGACTTCATTTTCTCTTCCTAATCATGAAAAATTCAGTATTCTATCTTATTTCTATCAAAAGTTATTCAAAACCTATCCAACCATCTTTCGATTCTAAATGGACCTTAACTAATCTAATTGGCATTAGGGAGCAGTATTATAAGAATAAAACTAATGACATCAAAGAGTGTCCAAGTGGGATTGCATCAACGTGGAACAGTACCTACATTTCATTGACAAATAATAAATGTTGAAAAAAGTTGGGAATCAAAGATATTGTTATTCAATAATATTACCTTTCCGACACCAGGTACATCAACATCTGGAATTGGTCGTGGAATTTCCAAACTTTTAACAAAACCATATTTACTACATTCTTCTCGTACATCTTCCATAATATCTATAAAAAAGAAACTTTGTTTCTCAATCAGAAAAAAAAATGAAATTCTTACCTTCAAATTCTTCATCATCACGTAATTCTTCTTCAGTAACCATATTTAATAAACATAAAACTTCTGTACTTACAGCCGGTGCTAATAGATTCATACCAGGTAATTGTACACCTATGACACCAGGTCCCTTAATAAATAAATAAAGAATTTTTCAAAATATATTATTTCAAAAACATAAATACTTACTCCAGGCATATTTTTAGCACCAACACTAGCTAATTGTACAATTAATTTTTTATCACCTAATTGCATACCATTAAGACCTTGTATAGAAGCATCTGTAACATTAGAATCACCATATTCACAAAAAGCATATCCTTTTGAAAGTCCTGTTGCTCCATCTTTAACCAAATTAAATGCTTTTAATGGACCAAAACTCATTAATAATTCTTTGACCTAAAAACATTATATAAAACAAATCTACTTCTGACGAATAACGACATGCTAAAAAAAAAATAGGGAATAAAAAACTTTGTTTTCTTTTTTTTTTTTTCTTTTTTCATAGATATATATAAACATCCTTTTCCAATTAAATCTAAAAAAAAAGAAAAAAAGCAATCCGCCCAACCATGAATTATCTAAAGACTAAAAAAGAGAAATTTCTAAAAAAATTCTAAATGAGAAAAAATAAAGAATTTAGTTATTGGTTTTTTTTTGTTTTCCTTTTATATGTATATTTTGGAATTGAAACTGAATATGTGTATTTGTTGTTTTGATATCTAAAATCGAACTCACGGGAAATAGATGTATGTCGATTTCTTCGTTGTTCTAGATGCGTGCCGAGCGGAAATAGATTAGTTTTTACTTTTTTTATAATTATTTAACCAAATGCTCGACACATCATCGCTGACCTAGTCTAGAACAGCAATATAAAAAAATCAGCTTGTCTTTTATTCTCACTATTATTAAGTCTTTCAGGACCGTCTCGAATGAAAAATATTGCAATTTTTTTGTTGTTTCATTATTTATCATTGAACTTCATAAGGTGTTAAACTTAACTGTTGATCTTCGTTAAGGATAGCTCGTTTCTATTCTTTCTTGCCTGTTTCTGATTCTCGGAAAAGGTATGACGGAGCAAGCTGAAAATTTTTACATAGAAAAAGAAGAAGATATGAATTTGAGAAATAAAAAGTTTTAAACGGATTTTTACCGTTGTTTAAGACCCACTCTCTAATTTTGTTCAATTGAGCTTCAGTTTTAGCATCGAACTTTTACGTATTTCTCTCATAAAAAGTTTTTCAACCCAATTGAATTGATCTTGATAGTGGTTGTAAGCAGTGAGAATGTGATCTTATGAAAACCAGGGGTTCCCAGAGAAAACTACATCAAAATTTTTCTTCTCGAACACATGTCTCCTCATTTTTGTTGCTTTTAGATTTATCTGTTCTATCGTCTTCGAGATCATAAAAAAGTCAATTAAGAAGGAGCGAAATACTCTTTACATTAAGACACAATGAAGAACATAGATATTCATTCTAAGCTTCTCATATTGCTCTATTTCATAAGTATTGTTAGTAAACATAACTAGATAGTATGCTAACTGAGAAATGAAAATATTTTTAAATTTCGAAGATCATGATTCTAAAAATAAACTATTTAATATCTTTGTAATCTTCTTACAGTAAAATATAAGTTTTCCATCAACTCAAGTTTCAATTAAGAGACCGAAAAATGCTAAATTTTCAAAATACTAACTGTACTGTTTCAATCTTTGATATATTAGAATATTTTAAAGAAGCTAACAAGAATACTTCTCCAACTGATATCTTCTATTTAAGTTCATATTCCACTCATAAGTAGAACTCTTTGTCGAGTACGAAAAAAGCTTCGGTCAGAATTTTTCGTTTAAAGTTTTTATCAATAACTGATCTTATGGTACTGAATATATTTTAGAAGTTTCAACTTAAACCTATACTCCAACTGCGCGATAACATATTTACAGAAAACATAATCGTTTTCACGAAAGTTCTTTTGTTTTACAAGAACAAAGACCATCTAAGGGCTATGGACACTTTTATAGTTTTCATCTAAACTTGGTGTCTTACTTATGAGTTAAAAATCTCCTTTTCAGTGTAAAGAATCTAAACGAACAAAAGAAATATAATTTTATGATCAATCTTTTTCATATTTCGGGACGGTCCTGGTTTTCATATAAACTCAACATTGAAGTAAAGACAAATAATTCCCACCTACCTGATCATCAGTCAAATAATTAGGTAGACCACCAATAAATATTTTAAATGGTGAATCAGCGACAACAGTCGAAATAACTCCTAAATTCAAAATTTCCATTAAAAATAAACAATAGACTTCTTTTTCGTTAAAACTTACCAGGTACATTCATATTCGGTTGATCACCTCCTCCTGGCATTGGTTGATAATCTCTTGGTCGACGAATTTTAAGTGATTGTCCTTGAAAAACAATTCCATCAAATGCCATAGCAGCTGTTGTTTCATCAATTGAACGAAACTAAATTTAATATATATATTAATATCAAAAAATATTTTTCTTGAAGAAAATAACTTACTTCAAGAAAAGCAAAATTTTTATCGAGATTTATTTGAACAGCAATAACTGGATGTCCTTCAGTTTGCGACAAACCAGTAAGTTGCATTTGTTGATTAAAAAATTCCATCATTGCATTCTTAAAAAAACAACGAAAAAATCAACTCTTTTTTCTTTTTTTAATAAATAATTATTTTCTTACTTCTGAAACGCCAAATGGAATATTTCCAACGTATAATCGTCGTGACTGATGAACAACATGACTACCGAGTACTGGTGTTGCTGCAGCAGTATTTGCACTCCAATCTTTACCACTAAATATTTGAGAAATTTGACCGGATGCTAAAAAACAAACAAAATCAAATAATGAGGACAAAATAATATGTTATTTTTTATATTTAACCTTGCATAGCTTTATATTGAACAGGTGTAATATGTTCAAAACCAGCTGGTGGTACATCCCAATATTTATATTTTCGAATTGGGTTCTTTTCAGTTTTATTTTCTTTTTTTGGACGTTCTTTCGGCGAACGTGAACGACTATGTTTATTTCGAGTGTTATCTTTTGGTGAACGTCGACGTTTATTATCTCGTTCACGTGAACGATCACGATGACGACGCGATTTACGATCACGAGAACGAGATCGAGATGAACGACGATTGTTTCGGTCTAAATTTATTTGAATTAAATAGATAACATGAAAAAGAAAATCAAAAAGCTTACCTGGTTGATCGTTAGCCATTTGGTTTCTAATAGAAGAAATTTATCTAAAAAATATGTTTTAAAACTTGTTATTACATAAATTTCCAATGATATAAACTAAAATATACTTTGAAACTCATCCATCTATTTGTATAGAATATGGAGGTCTTTAACCAATTGCTTTATGTAAGTCATATAGAGGTCGCTGAATGTCAGCACAGGAAAATTTGAAATCAATCATATGTAAATTCGGAAGTATTATTTTACAGTAGCAAGTTAGTATAGTTTTAATATTTAAATACTCATAAATTTAAAAATTGATACCTAAAAATTTACTAAAATACTCTGACCTTACAAGGAAAGTTTTCCAATTGATAAATAACTTTTGAACCGAGACTACGTGCACTATGTAAATCGAAATGAACTATGATTATATTGAAAAGTGTTCGTGTCATTAGCATATTACTGTGAAGATACTGGATTATTATGGAATTTTTTAAATGAATCACGTGATTCACCTTATAAACACAAGGGAAACGGACTGTCGAATTTCGGCTGGAAGCATGGCATAGAGACAGATTTTAACAAGAATAGTTTCTTGTGAAAGTTTTAGATCTTTGCGTTATTGTTATTCAAAGATACAACTATAGTAAAAGAGTGTCTTTTGAATAGACAGGGTTTTTGATTTCAAACTGAATATTGCAAAAACAAAATCATTTTCGATTTTTTCTGAACACGGGGATTGAGAAAGTTCAAGCAAATGAGCCTCGTTTTGGGCACAACCAGCGGGAAGAAAGTCTTTCTACAAATTAAACATATCATGGATACCACTTATGATACGTCAACGATACTTTTACTCATGTTACAGTGATTTTTGACTAACTGATTAATATTCAATCGCATGCAGACTCTCCATTCCTTTGTTTTTCAGTCATACCGCTTCCTACGTCTTGAGTATTATCTATTGTTATGTGTAGCTATAAATACCCTTCGTTTTGGAACGCGAGAATTACAAGATCTTTACAATTATTCGTTTAATTAAACATGTACATATCGACATTCAAAAATAGGTAGTGCATACATTGATGGACATATGAATAATTCTAAAGACGCTCTAGACTCTCATTTCAGTTTGAAATTGAGGTTTATTTTATTCTTTTTTCAGATTGAAACCAAACACTCCATTGTATGACTCAACGGCACACAAGGATAATGTCTTTTTTCTATTTGGTACCCTATCACAAAAACAAGAAATGGATGTTTGTTGAATTATCAAAAATTGAATTGACTAAAGATTCAAAATATGTTTTTAGGCATTAAAATTCAAAATCACCATATTGATTTTAGAATAGGTACTCGTCATACCTTAATATATCGATGTAATTCTCATGAACTTCATGGCCTCATTCAGAAAAATTATTTTATATTTTTATACTGTTTATTAAAAACAGTCAGCACATTGGAATTGCGATCAGTTTAATAAGACGTCATCCTCTTGCTCTATCAATTGCGCAGATAACACATAAACAAGCTCTATGTTCACATATCTACGAATTAGAATGAACACGACGCAACAACGAAAATGAAAAAAGAATGGATCGTTCAAAAACAAAGATAGAAAGACAGAAAGGTTCTTGCTAGGAATCTTATTTTTAAGAATTTTGCTAGGGCTTGATCATATCTCTACGAAATAATTTACATGCTTTTATTACTTTTTTACACTCTTTCTAACGATATAACTTTTATTGTCTCTGCATGAGATCGCAAAGTTCAAAGGAATTCATATATCAATTTAATTGTTTTATCAAGTAACATGACAGTAACTCCAACTTCAAAATACGATCCTTTGATGCCAAAGATGAAACTTTATTTCTTGAAATTTTTATACTTATAAACCATCTTTTTTAAGACTAAATTTGATCTTATGTTCAAACATGTCCTAATCAATGTGTGTTCTGTTGATGAAAATGAAGCAGGTTCATACGTAAAAAAAACCAATGATAAAAAGCTTGAAACGGTTTCAAATTTTGTGAATCAACACTTAAATATGGGTTTTGATTGTCTACTGGAAAATAGTCGTAAATAGAATACACTTTATTACAACCTACATCGGATTTTCTTTAGCACTTAATGATGATGATCTAGGTGATAGAAAAACTGAATAAAACAAAGAGTTACAGAAAAACAAGCAAGATATTATATTTGTATTTTTCTTAATGATTCGAATCATCTATTTGAAGTTTTTTTCTAGAAGAAATTTCTTCAATACAATAAGGACATTATTAAATTATTTGGTAAATATCTTACTTATGATGATTCACAAAAAAGTTTACTGAAAGTCATCTACAATTAATTAATGAAACAATCATCTATTACACACCTGTATTGAAAAAGCACGATTGCAAACGGCCGTATATAGCTAAATACGGCAAATAACAGTTGTCGAAGAGGGTGATTGCATACAATAAGCGTGTACGACGATATACGTTTGGATACAATTGACGTCTACGGAGAACGTAAACGACTGTTGTACACAACTAGTGTATATGATTGTATACAATAGTAATTTATCAGTGAGTTAAGGTGCTGATCTCCATCAAGATATTTATTTTTCAAATGAAGCATCCAATCGCATAGTAAATGTCAATCAGAGAAATGATTCGTATTTTTTGCCATTCATGTTTATCTCATTTAAAGATATTAAGTTATCTCTGCTTTTTTAAAGTACATATGAATAAAATATTTATATGTAAAAAATGAGGATAACTAAATAAAGTAGTGTTTTTTCTTCATGTAAAAAAATAGTTAAAATAAAGAATAGAAAAGGATGTCTTTTGTTTGGTATTGAAAATAGACAAATATCCCGTTTGATAAGAGGATATATTAATAAATGTTCTTGTTCACCACTAACAATACTTCTATATGCAATATTATTGAACAAAGGATGATGTACAAAAATAAATACACAAAGAAAAACTTTTCTGTATATTTCTTTCTTTATCCATGATACTATAGTTTTTTATAAGCTATTTAGAGGAAATTAAAGGTTAAGTGTTCATACAAAAAAATCTTCATCATTTAATCTATCTTTATTTTGTAATAAAGATTTTATTTATCTTTAATTTTAAAGTAATAAAGAGTAGTTTTTAATTTATCGTTATTCTATTTCTATTTATTCTTTACTGTAAAGGTTGTTATCGGACTAGCTTATTGATGTGACCACTTATCCCATATTCTCTCTTCGCTTACAGTCACTATAGTGTTAAAATACATCATGCATATGCATCAGGAAATCTACATTTTATGGAATTTTTTTTCTCAAATTTATCTTCAGTCCAGTCAAGGTTGGAGAAGTATTTTCTGAGCTCTCAACACAATTACTTATCGATTTAGCGTTTTTGATTTGGTATAAGCCACTAATATACAGTTGTAGCTAGCTTTGTCAAAATTTCTTCTTCCGATATGCATGAAAAGAAATCTGTATTCACTTCTTGAGATTAATGGTCATAACGGATATTCAAAGGTTAAAATTAAATTATCCTTACTGTTTTTCAGTTTAGACTTGATTCAAAGGCTGATCCAAATGTTAGTATAAGTTAATGCAATTAAATTGTATATCCGTCTATAGAATGAATAATTTATTTTGTACTAATGGGATGGGAGGGGATGAGGTGGTAGTGATAAAAAAAAAGTGTCGTTTGACGACGATTAATCGTCGACTGATCGTGTTTATTGTCGATTAACTGAAAACTTTTCGGTGAACCGTCGCATACTGAACAGTTAACAGTTGAATTAACAGAAGTCATATGTGATGGTATACAGTCGTTCATGATAATCGTATACACGTCGTATACCGCACTACAATATATGGTTGTAATTTTAGGTTCAAGTAAACGATAAAATACTATCACATACAATCGTGTTTGGCAACGTATGCGATCATACACGGTTGTTCAAGAGGTCGTAACTATTCGACCGTTTGCAACTATCGTAATGCTCTCCAAATCAATTTTTTCGAGAACTTTTTCAAAGACTATATTGATTATTTTTTTAATAGAAACCGAAAAATATAGATTTTATTTAGAGTGAGAACTGATAATGAACCATATCAACAACAGTTTTTTGATAGTCTTGATGAGTTTCATTCAAGAATATGTTCAACAACTTGCACGAGGAAAAAATTCAAGATAGTATTAGATACAATGAAGAGGTAGATTTATTCCAGTCGCGATTGTAGAAAAAACACATCGTTTTCTTGAGAAGAACGACAGAAACATTTAGGTCCAGGTGATTTAGATTCAATTAAAGTCATGAAACCATCGCCAAAGGTAAAAGTTACTGATAACTCTTTATTTTACTTTCGATTCTTTTTAAGAAGTACAAAAATGTTTTGAATGACGTGATGTTACGCAACTACAAGAAGTTTCATGAAAAAAAAAAATGTCTCGAGAAAAAGCTGCTTATCATTTTAATCGTTATATTAAATTAGGTTTATTAATACTAAATACAAAACATGCAGAAGATGATGATAAAAACGAAAGAAAATATGATGAGTTCTAAAAAAAAACACTGCACGAGTATTTTGTCTAGCGATACATGGTAGATGGATTAAAAGATTGAATTCGATGTGAAACACCCCTATCAGAAGACGCTTCAGAGTACTGACACAGAATTTTGAAAAGCTTAAGTGCCTCTAAGACCCTAATATTTGGAATCAGCGTAGTTAACTGCATACAGCCATGTATGTTTCCACGAATAAGTGATTGGTCACTTGAGGAGTTCCCCCGTCAGTCGAAGTTTGTCTAAGAAGAATGAAAATGATATTCAAAGGTTTTAAATATCCATACTTTACTGTGCGACCAACAAAATTAAACAAAACATAAAATAAACTACGATTGTTATCATGACGCTTTCATCATAGATCATCACGTTGTATCTCGTTCTGTAAACAAGTAATTGCAAAAGCACGAGTAATTGACGACACAAAGCTATTATAAACTCATTTAAATGAAAAAAAAAACATTAAGACATATCACATAG